AAAAAAACAAAAAAAAAGGCATCTGCGTCTGTTCAGAGAAAATTCAAATTTAGAATTTGGAAACAGAATCAAATTAAAGTCTGACAAACAAGCCAAATCCAGCTGAGACGTTTGTGAACAGGTAGATGGTAGTGAAAATTTACCTGAGAAAAGTATAAGATCAAGAATCTCCCAGCAGCAGTAGTGGTCGAAATACTAACAGTACTTCTATACGAGCAATGCGGGTCTACCTGCAGAGAATTGTATGGACAAAAATAAAAATGGATAAACAGGGTATAATAATCACCAAATATCATATTTTCCTATCCGCAATTGATGATGGTTACAAATAATTTACCAGTAACAAAACGGTTGTCTTGTCAGATTCCTTTGAAGATGTCCACAGTGCTGGAGAGGAATCCACAATAATTCTTTCAGAAAACAGATTGGGAAATACATGGAGACCAGATGTAGCATCCCAAGCAAGAGCCACAGGTGGGAAACAGCGACGTCTGCAAATGGCTGCATTTGAAGGGTGAACATTACATGCTGACATATCACTGACAGTAACAATTAGAGAATTAGAGATAAGTTTTAAGAAAAAGCATCATATAGAGATGTCAATCAATTTGGATCTATTGTCTAGAACAGAAAACTAGCATCCATCACAAAATATATGTGACCACTTATATTTCTCTTCATGCAATCAGTAAAACATGAATTTTCAGTAGTCCTTTATACTAATCAATTCTCAGTGGTAGGATATGAAGAGTCGATCAGATAAAAGTGAAACAAAATAATCCGCAGAAAAAGTAATACAGGATGGTGACACTTACTACTAGTTTCAACATCTCCTGACTCTTCAAGAGGAAATTCTGACTTCTTAATTCCACAGCCAGTTGTTTCAAGGGCTAAAGAAATAGGAAGAAGACCTAAGCTAACGGAAAATGTATGGTTGAGAATAAGAGGATGATCTTCTTTCAAATTCACATCCTGTTACACAATCCAATTATGCAACAATGAGTCATTATTCCCAATATAGCATTCCAACATTATTGACTTCTGCAGTTGCTGCAAGTATCAACAAAAATATTAACCTTTTTTGAGTATAATGAATGAATCAACTGGTAAGCAGAGAATAAATGCTCTCCATCCTTTGGATTGAAAAATTGTCCAACTCCCATAGACGCAGCTGGTGGAGGTCTCCCTGAAACAGTCTGAGAAAAGAAAGTCCCTTAGAGTAGCTCAGGAGAAAAAAAAAAAGGGTATTGCTTATGATAATTACGAGGTCATAAAAGTTTCTTAGGAAGAAAGCCACTCTTGCACACAGTTGTTATAATAAATATCTTCTCGCTATAATAATAAGATAAGATAGGGCATCGTAAAAGACATCCAGACCAGTAAAGACTGCACTTAATAAATAATGATGTACAATCCTTATCACAAATCCTACATTTTAATGATTAAAGTAGAACAACGGTAGTTGCTTTCCACCCTATAGAGAAAAGCATCAAGCCAAAAACATAGCCAGGGCTAAAAAACACTTGCAGTTACTGGAGCTCTTCTAAATAATCAAAAGAAACACTTGGCTAAAAAACACTTGCTGTATATCAGTATTACAGCAATAATCAGAAGAAACACTCTTTGTTTTCGATATCTTTCAGATAGATGCACTCCTTTTAACCTCTGGCCTGAATTAATTCGATTTATTATTGTCCATACTGAATTCTCAACATAACAAAATCTTAAATACTTTTATGCTAAATAATATTCCTTCCCCGTACTAAAAATTATGGAATTGCATTTGCCCCAAATTATTACTTCATGACCAACCACATCTATGATAATAATTACTTTCCCATTATTTCTTTGATGAGTGCCTAAAATGAATACGACTCTAGGGTCTTCAGCGCAGGTAAGCACGGAAGTCCATCTAGAAGAAACAAGTTGATAAGAGATTTCCTCAACTTTCTTATAAGAAACTCAAAAGCAAAGAGATCCTTCATGGGATCAATTATTAACAGCATAAAGGTTACTGAATGAAAGTTATTTAACTAAAATACTTAGTTACAACTATTAGCAATTAAGAAAATGGAAAAAGAAAATACCGGGCGAGGCGCCACTGAGATGGTCAAGAACCTGAAGCCGTGCATATCCTGAGGACTCAACCAAAATACAGCAGATGGAGGAGCTTGCTCAGTCTGACTACCTGGTTCAATCTACAAAGAAACGGACATGTTGATTTATTAAAGTATAAAAACTTTGGCTCATCAAAAATACCCTCCAGAAATAAAGAGAGTACAACATATACCTGCCTTGGAGCTGGGCCAGAGGGAATGTGTACCATTTTTGAGGTGACTTCCACAACCCGTTTGTCAGTTAAAAGTTTTGCAGTTGATGTTCCCTTTTCTCGCCAAAGATGTAGTCGAACACCAGAACAAGGTGAAAGATTCGTGACAAAAACAAAGTGGGTTTTTCTGTCCGCACCCTGTTCATTAAAGAGCATTCGGGATCCCCCACTTTAGAGACAATCACCATTATTGGCACCATGCTATCCATAAAGAACACAGAAGTTGCTAATCCGAGTTCCATATTCCAAATAAAAGGCAAAATTTCTTACTTTTTTATGTTTTAGAATTTAATTTTAAGAACCCAATTGTATTAAAGTTTTCTCTAATTTAGAATCACTCTCCTTTCCAAGCCGGTTGAAACACAAAAGTAATAATTTCTGCAGTCTGTAACTGATGCTCACCAGTTTGTGAATGTCCATCCAACGCCTTCTCCCATCCATAGCTAACACAGTAACAGAACTAGTTTGGATGTAAAGGTCTCTTTCAAGTCCATCATCATTCCATTGGCTATCACGTGGGCAACCAGATATGTAGGGAACTTGCAACCCTAGATATCAGATACTCGTCGGTTATTCACCCCATAGGATCAACATAAAATCCCTACAATCTCAAAGCTCAATTAAGGTTTATGTATGACTTGAAGAATGTTTAACATCGGACATGCTATCGACAGGTCTCCATGTAAAAAGAGATCCAAGTATTTTCTTTTTCCCTTTTAGTCTTAGAACTGCTTTGATTTAACCAATATAGACACGGTTCACGTACATAAAAATAATAACAATACAAACAAGAAAAAATAGTAACAAATAAAGATTTGCAACTATAAACATGAGAATGGGGAAAGAAAAATAAAATCTAAATTATAAAGATTCCTTAATCCATATTTATGAACAGTTCAGACCCTTGCATAAAACCAAATGCTCATTTCTAGGTTATTTTTTCCCTTTTCTCTTCTGAAATAGCAGATAAATCAAGGTATTATAGGTGACTATCCTATTTGGGTTGTGCAACTTATAACCAAATGGACTGGACACCTGTTCCAATAGAACAGGCAACTCTGTCCAATTTCAAGAACATTTTAAACTCATAAGTCAAATGATTCAGCCAGATTCTGTGTTAAAATAAGTGAGAAAATAAATAAGAAGATTCAAATAGAGAATACCAGCATTGACTATTCCATTTTGATCAGAAGCCTGGTCAGACTTTTGCGATAGTCGTGATTGCCTCGATGAAAGGAAGGTCTGTGGGATTCCACTATGAAGCATTTTCGTAAATATACCAACTCTTTGTCTAACATCACCAAAAGGTTGACCTGTCTTGGTGTCCATCAGACTGAGTAAAGTGTGTGAGACCTAAAAAGTTGAGTTTGAATTTCAGAAATGCATAAGATGTAACACTGGTAGTTCCATGAGAGAATACACTTACTTGCACAACTAGCTGATTACACCATAAGATAACTTGGTGCTCCATGGACAACCATACATTTCTCATGGCAGTGCTACTAATCATGAAGCCATGTGTAGACGGAACAATACCATCAAGGGACTCTAACTTTGTACGCACCTAAAATTAAAAAATCGCAAAGCATAAATATCTCTTGATCGCCCATGAGAAATTGGCGAAAGAACAACTCGTAGATGGAGGCTACAACAAATTGCATCCATTATGGATCGCATGCTACAACCTTTCTTTCACTACTTTCACCATTAAGGGCAAAATTCAGTCTAAAATTTCAGCACTGTCAACGAAATTAGAGTTCAAGAATAGATAATTAATCTATATAAGCACATGAGATGATTTAAGTATGTACGCACACACGCACACACACACACACACACACACATACTTCATAGCAAGAAACCCGCAAATAAGTAAAAAGTTACTGAGAGTGTGAGATCATTCTCTGCAAATGAAATATACTTATAAAGTTACCCCATGAACCAAGCTCTGGCCTAGGATCATAGTTCATGTAAATCAGATATACCTGGTAATCATTATAACCCCCAGAAATGGAGACAATGACAACATGTGAAAGCGAAGGAGTAGACGGGTAGTGTCCGCTTCGAGAGGTTTGGCCCTCATATCCTTTTCTCCATGCCTCATTCACTAGTGCATAGTAGTGGCCCAAGGATGGCTGCAATGCCACAGGAGGAGACCTGGACAAAAAGATAAAATTACTGGGAATATAGACAACTTTAAAATTCACAAGAAGTACTAAAAAGAACCTGTAGAAACTCACTGGTGTGGGCTGGAAAGTGTCAGAACAGTTTCAACAGCAAACTTTCTCAAGTGAGGATGCACAACTGCAGCCCTAGCAATAAAACCGCCCATAGAATGACCAACCAAAATGACACTTTTAGGTATGCTTCCAGAAACAGAAGAGCCTTCTTTTGCTCGAGTAGCACGAGATTCTTTGTAGTGGTCCAAAATCTACACTCGTGAAGAACAACCCAGCAAAAAAAGGGAAACCTAAGAGAGCTTGTTTTAAGTTCATTTCACAATTCACAAAGAGATGGAATGGAACTCAACTGAAATGGAACAATGTATTTTGGCAATTGGGTCCAACACAAACTGAAGCAAGTACATTTTAAGTCAAGAAAGCAGGAACTCTTTCAAGGGATACAAACTTTCATAAACCCCTATGGAGATGTGTTGAAGAGAGAGAATACCACATCATCATCATACAGAAAAACAATCATGGTAGCAAGACAGCATGTTAAGTGAAGTTTATATCAGCCGTCTAGTTTAACTGTATTAATATTTCTGCCTGCCCTTTATTCTGGATGTCAATTGTAACCCAATTTCATCACGAATTCATAAAATAATGGCAAAAGTGATACCCTGTGAATGGCATGTACTACATATTCCGCGTGTTCTTGAAGTATCTGACCATCCATTGCAGAGTGTTCCCCCTCAAGATCTACTGCAAACCAATCAAGCATGGAAGCATATCGACTGCGTAACTTAATGTCGGAGTAATCAATATCGACTTCCTCCCTGAAAATTGGGGAAGCTTGGTAAGAGTCCCATTCGAGTGGACCTCCTTGATAAGCCCTATCAGACTCTGCACCCAGAGATCTCACCTGTAAAGACACAGGCAAGCATATGGGCATGAGAAATCAATCATGACATAAAAGTATGCAGTCATGCCTCTACTAGTGATCAGCCCATGATGCATTGGACATATAAAATATATGAAAATATAATATAAGAAGCTAATTGATTGGTGAGAGATAAATATTAAAGAGTCCAACACCAGTATATGACTAAAGTAAAAATTGAAAACAGCTAGAAGAGAAGCTTGCCTGCTTATAGCTTCCACCATTGCCAGGTATGAAAAGAACAGGGACACCATTAAGCTGTCTAAGGTGTTCATCAAAATCAATCGTTTTCCATCCTTCATGGTACAAGTATAAACCGTACTTGGCAGACGACACATTTTCTGGAGCGGACACGGGAATGTATGTAGGGTACATATATGTCATGACACAACCGTTTGATATTGGCTTCAACAAAGCATAGAGACCCGCAAGGCTAATCCATATGAAAACAATAACCACGAAAGCCACTCTAATTTTCACTTCTTGGCCTTTCACGCCCTTGCCACCTCTAAAACCCAGCTCCAAAATCATTTTCGAAGAACCAGCTGCACTGCAAATTAATGAGAAAGTCTATCCATAATTATCGCCTAAAATAAAAGGAAGAAGAAGAAGAAGAAGAAGAAAACAAGCCAACTTGCAGAAATTAGTAACCAAACAATTAATCGAAGTGGTCGAACCAATCAAATCACAATGCAAAAGAACACACTCAACTAAAATTTTCGCTTCAATCAACTAATAATCACCAATTCACAATGTTCATACGCACACAGTAATGCAATATAACATCCGATAAACTTAACGAGCAACAATAGCTGCAAACAGCATATAAAAACAATTGCAATGCGGAGAGTTTACAGATGAATCGCTACTTTCGGGAACCAAATCAGGAAGAAGAACGGCGACGGGTTACCTGTGAGAGTGAGATCCAGCTGAGCAGAAGCAGCGGGGAGGAGCTTCAGCTGATGAGATGCTGCTGGGATTTTCGCTGAATGAAAAAAAAAAAAATGGTGTTTAATTCATTAATTGAATTATTATTATTAGAGAAGTGAAAAAGCGAAATACGAACATTTGATTTAGAGTTGAAATGGTTGGGTCCAACAGTGATTTGACTCTCGTGCCCTTCCTTTCCTTTGGCTTCTAATCTCCTATTCCTAATAGTAGTCCTATATAATATAATTGGGCATTAAAGTGTGTTAAAAATTGCAATTTTTAGTCTTCATTTATTCACTGGGCATAGTGTATTGTTGTAGTATTTGTGTGTGTGTTGCCCGATAAAGAAAAACTCCAAGGTTGAATTCGAGTATTAGGGCAGTTTGTTGAATTTTAACTGCTCACTACCATAATAGCTACTGGTTGGATTTATGGTGCATTACTAATACTAGTACAGAGCCCGTGTGATGTACGGAGTGCACAATTTTAAGGTCATTTATCCAGTCTTATAATTATATAAATGAATAAAGAAAAATATACGGAATATATATAGCACGTGACCTATGCGAGGCACGGGATATATTATTTGGGATTATTATACTATAAGATGCAATATTCAATAAAAATTTTACAATACACAAAAATAAATATAAATAATGTAAATATCTAAATACATACACGATATGTGGAATAAATAAACCAAATTGCAAATCTGAAAATATAATTTAAAAAAAAAATCAAAAATATATTTCACTAAACATATACAAAAATATCTAAATACATACACGGAAAAAAAAAATATGTTTCAAATTTCGAAATTAAAACAAAAATTCAAATAATTTGGCTTACAGTTTTATCATGCAGAACCAACTCAAGATATGATTTGTATGTGTTGCCCCGGTTTTGGAAAAACATTCTCACAATTCGAACTTTGAGCATAGATCTATTAGACCTATTGGCTTGTTGATTAACCCAAATCCTTGATTCATTGTTTTGAATAAAAGACTGATTGAGGATATTTTTTGTTCGCGGGAGGTTGATAGTGAGGAAGATGATGGCTCGATATTTTGAGATCTGTAATTTATAATGGGTAGAGTAGATATATATTGTTGTTAATATTTTCATTAGAAAATCTGAATTTGAATATACAGAAATCGGTTTGAACAAAATCAGAACTGATTTCTATACAATTAGATAATAAAAAAAGCCTTTTTTAATTTAGTAAAGATTTTACGTACTTTTTTTACTTATCGGATGTTATGGGGTTTTCTTTGTTAAACCGGTTTTATGGGATATAATACAAATACAATTAGAGAATTAAACAAAATCAGAATAGATTTCTATACAATTAGATAATAAGAAGAAATTAGATAAGGAAAAGAAGAATTAAATAAGGAATTTTGAATCTGTCTTTTTTTAGTATAGATAGACTTTACGTACAAAATTTGACTTCACCGATTTTATGGGATTTGTTTGACAAAATCGATGTTAATATGGAATAAGACAAATAAATAAAGTCTTTTTTATTGTAGTAAAGATTTTACGTCTTTTTTTTTACTTATCAGATGTTATGAGATTTTTTTTTCTTAAACTGATTTTATGGGATATAAGATAAATAAATAAATAAAATAATTAAATAAAATTCTGGATAAAAATAACAATGCATTAATTACGTTGACTTTTTAACCTACTAAATTTGGTAAATAGAATACCTTATTATATAAATATAGATTTCGACTGTTTTTGCTCACCCGAATT